ATGTATGTATGTATGTATGCATGTATGTATGTATGTATATGTATGTATTGAAATATCTTCCTCTATCATAGAACAATACCGGAGTCTAACCTCCCCCTTCCCCTTTATGAAGCTCCATCAAGGACCAATGCTTACTGATGGTATAATGAATTCGACCGAGGTAGTAGTTCACTCCAAGACGAATTCCGTTAGGGGGGGGGGTCTCAAAAATCAGTTGTTGCTCCGATGCTGTGCGCAAACTAGTATTGCAAAATCGTCATGTGACCTATCGTGAGATTGTGACAACCTTAGGCGTCGAAGGGACCAGCATACATTTGTTGTTGCGTGAGCATTTGACTGTAATAAATTTGTTCGCGTTGGATCCCTCAAAATTTGTTGGATCACAACACTAACAAATGCTCAAAAAATGCTTCGAAACACGTCTATGACATCGCGAAGGTGATGGATCATGGGTATACGCGTATGAGCCCAAAAGTAAACAGCAGTCGATCGTGTGGGTACTTCAAGATGAGCCAAATCCAGCAAAAGCTGTCCGCGCAGGAAGCACTCCCAAGCATGGTCGCCTTTTTTTTGGAAAAACTAGACATGTCGCAACCGTATACAAGAACAAGTAGAGAAGTCAATTCTGAGTGATATACAACCATTTGTTTGCCAGTTAGTCTTCCAAAAAAATCAAGAAAATCAACTGGCGAAGACGGATCACTCTTCACTACGACAATGCGAACACCTCCACATCGGCTCAAGCAGCTGCATTTTCGAGCACTCAAAACAACGATTCGATGAGTCATCAGCCACATAGTCCCCGGATGACTTCTTCTTATCCCGTACGTAAAAAATGAGAGGTCAACGTTTTTCGACATCTGAAGAAGCCGTTGATGCGTTCAAATTGCATGTTTTGGAGTTACCTCAATCATAGTGGCAAAAAGCTTCGATAATTGGTTTGAACGCATGCAAAAGTGTATAGACCTTAATGGGGAATATTTTTTGAAGGCAATCAAGCGATTTTCAATGACATTTAATTTTGTTTTCTAATCCCGAGATATAAAGGGCAACCTACGTAATCGGCCATTTAGGAGAGATTGGCGCTTTCATTTTATTCTACTGTGATGAAATCGTCCGAGGCCTATGAGCCTACACCCGCGTTTCAAGGAAAATATCTCAAGGAATAATAGGCAGCGGATTGCTTAAATCACGCTTCTCGAGTCACTTCACAAGATTCAGATTGATATCCTCGAGCTGAGATATCCAAGTTTTTTCAGATTCTTTTTCAACTTGGGATTGCAGTACTCCCACTGCTTGGCAGCTACTCAGAATTATCGAGAACGTCTCGCTCACGTCGAAATTTCCAGAAATCCAATCGGTACGGTTGGAGCTCCACTTGTTAATTCCATTCGAGTACATCAATCCGCAGGTTTTGGACTGGTAGGTGAAAATATTTCTTAGAACATATTTTTTCACTCCCAAATACAGGATCTTTATGGTGGTCCCCTATGCAATGTTGAGCTTTGATATCCATGGGCAAGTTTTGCTGTGTATTCTGGTTTCTTATGATATCCGCGAGATTATTCACCAAATGAGTTTTCCATCTCTAGACACATAGTATTTTATTTTGCATGACAGACGATAAGCGGCAGTAGTTTCACGGCAATTACCGTAACATTCCGTCAGACTTTTATACCTTCCCATTCACAGCGCGCTATCGAATGCCGCGGGAATAGAGCTTATGTCGGAATCATTACAAATTGGTTAAAGCAGGTAGAATCCTCATCGTTTCATTAGGGTCAGCAGAGAATGAACACTAGCGATGCAAACATCGCTTAGTGGTTAGAAGTGCTGGATCATATCTGCGCTCATGAAGGCTGCTACTTTGATCTTCGGCAATGCAATTACCCTGCTCTTAACGCATTACAAATCAAGATGACGATTCGTGAAAGAGTCCCTTTACAAATAGAAAGACTAAAATTGCACAAATGCTTAATTGTAGATCCAAGTCATCGCAAGGATGTGGTGCGCAAAACCCTTCATCTGCTCTTAATTAGCATTTCAGAACTAACAAATGGGGATAACTTCGTGTGAAAAAGGTAGCTGGTTTTCTGAACTTAGGCTCATTGCAAAAAAATAAGATGTCGCGATTACAGATCACAATAATTGCCTCCACTATCAGCAGCGAGAAGCGAGAATAGAAGGTGGTGTGTGCTGGTGATTGGCGTCAGAGCGTGCGTCGCAAATCAGCCACGACGATGCGAAAAATGAGTTCACCTAAACCGTAACCATGTTGCTCCAGTCAGAGGCCGCTCTGGTCTGAGATTCCTTTCCGTGTGCAATAACTTCCTAGTCTTCTTTCGTTGACGGAGCTCGGAACTCCTAGTTTTCTCTTCACCTACATTCATCAGAGAATTCCAAGCATCGCCATCTCCACAGCGCGTTGAGTGACACTGACAGAGTAATCAACCTACTTGTGTGGGGTCCGAGTTTCTGAAAGCGAAGCATAATTGATAGCGGTGGCCATCCGGAATGGGATGTATACCGGTGTTTTTGAATGCTTATCTTGAATATACGTTTTAAATGTACGAAAAAATTTTGGGAACAGAAGAAACGGAACCGTCTTACCTTGTTATACCACTGGATCTGTAGTCTATAACATTCTATCCGAGTATCAAAAAGATTAGCGCTCATGAGAGACGAGTTATTCACACAATCGGGTATCAGCTATGAAAGCTGAAAAAGAGTGAGAATGGTCGAGAGCTGCCAAATTAGTCTATTTTTGATAAAATGTAATGTCGTATGTGGCTCTATTTATAAGGTCGAAGAACAAGCAGATCGATGTGAGGGCCTTTAGAGTCAGCTTAAAGGTAAGCCATCGCTACATTCAGAATCTCGAGTCGAGCGCATCGTGTCGTAGCTCACCACGTTTACTTCATGAAAGGATTTCTGAACAAGTATTGGATTATCATATGCAATATTATGGTGACCGTTGGGCTGGCTGGAGCGATTACTGACTTGTTCCCTCGTGACATAAGTCGAGCACTGGGATAGCCGTAGGACTATGGTCAAACATTTTCACGTGAGCTCTCAACGGGAAGAATGATGTGCTTTGTGTTCTTGGAGCGAGCACGATCAACTGAACTGCTCTAGCTTTAAACAGGGACGAATGAAGATGGAGAATTTACGTTGAAAATGGTCCCAGACATTACTTCATTAGATAAACCTGTGATCGTCAAGGGCGGCCTAAGGGATGCTGTTGGGCCGAAAAACGACCACGTCAGGGCGTAACAAAGGCATTAAAATCGGCCAAATCGACGTTCACATCTGAGACTGACAAGCTATACAGCGTTGTAAAAGCCGGAGTGGTTGCACTACTCGCACCGCAACCCACACTTGCATGCAGGCAGCTTATTGTGGCCAGCTATGCAATGGCGCACGCTTTTGAATAGCTCGTCCAAAATACCCCTTCCATGCGACTCGTATCGTCACATTCTTGTGAAGCCCCTGATTTTACTTCTGTTTGATGCCTTACGTTTCTCTAAATACCCCGATTTCCGCGTTTTCTTCGCCTTTTCTGATCCATTCTGAACTGTCCCTTCCATTACTCGTCTAAAACTAGAACCCGCCAAAATTATCGTGACCTGAGCCTTTGCCAGTCAACCGCCTCCTAACCGCACCACAGTTGCACAGTGGAGCGACTGATCGGTTCGGTTATCAGCTCGACACCGTAAGGTAACACCGAGAAAACGGTTGCTTACCTTTGTTCCTAGAACATCTACGGCGGTATACATCTTACCTTGAACGACCAGTGCGACCAAGTATCCTTCTCTTGTAATCGTATCGTCAAAGCGACCGTAGTATCGAAAAGATGGGATGATAGGTAGGCTGTTAGGCGTGGCTGTGGAAGAAATCCCACTAGAATAAGATTGTAAGATAACTTTTCTCTATGCTGATGCAGTAACTGCTCCGTCAGGACGGCAAATGGAAAGCGTGTTGGTCTTGTAATCGGTGAAGTTTCGGCGCGGTTTCGGCTTGTCCGGTTGGGACTGCGGCTCTTTCCTGTTTTGAATCTTCCTCCATTGCTTCGCTAATTCGGGCATTAGTTGATAATGCCTGTAGCTCGCTCAATTCCACGCGAATCGACTTGAGAGTCTTCAAAGAGACTTGTTTCTTGGCACTTGCAGACCCTCTGCTTTCCTGCACTAATATGAAGATTCCGACAAACCGGTGAAGTTCCTGGTTGTTGCTGAGGATAACGGAATCTTCCCATAATCTTGCAAAGGTAAGCGAGGTGATCCCAATTGATGACTGTCTTGACGCTTTAATTCTTAAACATCGCAGCCCTCTCTCCACGCTGTGAAAACCAGTAATTACCAAGGCGGAGGCTTGGTCAAATCTCGTGTACAAGTTGATCTGACAGAATTTTCGATCGAAGATGACTTGACTTATTTTATTATGCCAACCAGGTGACTGTGACTCCCACATTTCGTGAATGAAAGAGCTTTTGAAGCTGCGATCCACAGGGGATGTTGGCATGATGAACTGGAACGGTCTCCCACCCTGCTCATTCTGTGGAGCTTTCCCAGGACTATAGAAAACTTCCAGCTCCCCTTCTTTGTAGCTTGATGTTATATTTGATTGCTAGAGCGAAGATTGTTGGGGCTGGGAGTTCAGTCACACCTCTCAATCGCAAACATATGATTCGGGTAGTCAAGCTCCCTCAAGAATCGATGTTCATGGTCAATTCGTGTTGGCAAGACCGATGCCGCCGACGCCTCTGCTGTCGCATGTTCCAGAAAACAATTCTTCTCCAGTCTCGTAATGGGCTCGCAGTGGGTTGGTTTCCGGACCAGTCCGACGACAGCGCTGTTCGTCTTCCCTGCTTGCAACATCAAGCCTTCGACGCACGCTTCCGATGCAGTCGTTCATGGGTCGAAAACAGATTAACTCCCAATTCTGGACGATTTGATAGAACTGAAACTTCCCCGGTCTCTTCCGAGCAGTCCTACTCAACGCTACCGTATTGTGGATTTCACGCGTTCAAGGGAATGCGGCTCATTTATACCCACGACCTTGTCCACCTCCAACGTGGAGCCGGATAAACTTCGAGTGGTTAGTTGGGCCATCTTGATGTGGACAACAGGACTAATTATTGGCGGCTGCCCTGAGTCGCCTCCCGGTTACTTCCCAGTCACACGAACGCAAGTTTTTAGCTTAGCCGATGTGCAGGATAGCGACTGCACCCGCAGACTCACTCTCCACATATGCATGCATAGATACACATGCGAAGAGATAGAGTTTATCACTCGGCTCAACAGAAACGGAAACATCCATCCCCTCGGTCTACCCGCATCTCCGAGCAAGTACCGGTGACTTTACCACGAATCATTTCCCCTCTATCTTGGCACGTAGCCTCATCAACAGGTGACCGGAAATTTTTCAGTAAGAGAGAGCTCTCAGTAAAGGAGATCAACGAATATATACACTGTCTTCTTCTTCTTCTTCTTATTCTTTAGCGTCTATCGCGCTTGTAGGCGGGTTCTGCTTTTCCGATATGTTGACGTCACTTCTCCCGACTAAACGCTTGGTCTGGGTGCACGTTAACCGTTTTCAGCTCTTCGTGCAACGTGTCGAGCCATCGATGCCTTGGGCGTCCTTTAGACCACTTTCCGGACATGTCGCGGTTGAGACCGATCTTACAGACTCTGTCATCATTCGCGCAAAGAACATCACCATGCCATCAGGGACTGGCTTCACATTTTATCGGCTATGGGCACTGCCACCGAATCGCTCCCTGATGACGTCATTACTTATGCGGTCTAGCTGTATTACGTCGACTTTCCAGCGCAGCATCTTAGTCCCCATCACACTGAGAAGGGCTTCAACTTCTTTGGTCGCAGGACAGCACTCAGCCCGTAAGTTGCGGCCGGCGGATGGCGGTTCCATTGGTCTTGGATTTGAGGCGTTCAGGCATATTTTTATCGCAGAGTGCGCCTATCGTCGAGCACCACTTCTATCACGCTGCATTCACGCGAGAATTTGTTTTAAAAACGAGGCTGCCGTCAGACGCAGTTGCCGATCCAGGATACTAGAATATTGTTGTAAGCTCAGTGTGATTGATCTTAATAGAGCCTGGCTTGCTAGAATCGGTGGTCAAGTACCCAGTCTTTTTGACGTTTAGCCTAAGTCCGATCATAGCCTGAGATTCGGACCAGGTTTCATCTGTTGCTCGAGCTCGCATTCGTCTACGCTGGCATCACGTTATCGGCATAAAAAACGTCCACGGAGCCGGCTTCTGGAGATCTCTTGTATTCGCATACATGACGACGACAACAAATAGAAATAGGAATAGAGCCTTGGTGTACTCCAACGGAGTTGGAAAAAATTCTCTGATATGCCCGCTGCCGTCTGCACTCAGCCCTTTGGAATAAAGTGAAGGATGCGCAACCACTCGATTAGCTTCTCGGGAAGGTCATGCTGCCGTAAGGCATACTGAATGACGTAACATGGGACGGGATCGGAAGCCCTCTTCAAGTCTAGGAAGGCAAGAGGTGCCGTTCTTTATTTCTCACGCTGCTTTTCTAGTAGAAGGCGAGTTGCGTGTGTGGCATCGATGGTCTGCAAGCAGCCACGAAACCATACTGATTGGTGGTAAGCTCGACGATGTCACGGATGCGACTATCTACAATTTGCTCAAAGATTTTCATGCTATGCGAGAGCGGGCGAAATTGACCGTAGCAGTTGTAGTCCCCAGGACTGCCCTTCATCCAGATAGGAATCGACGTTCTCTGTTGCCAGCTCTCAGGCACCTTCTTCTCTGCAACGACGTGGTTGAATTCCGTCAACCATCCTGCAGGATTTCTGCCCTTTGATTTCCACAAGTCCGGCGCTAAGTCGTCAGGACCAGTTGCTTTGCTTGATTTCATACTCTTCAAAGCCGCAGTGGTCTCGTACACAGTTGTTTTCTTAACGGGACGTCTACCTTCGGAGCGCAAGGGATTGCGGTATGGAGCAAATTCGACTGTTGAGATGTCTTCGAAGTACTCTTGCCATCGTTTTCCTGTCTTGTCTGCTGTCCGTCAAGAGGTGACCGTCTTCGTCATTTATGCCGAAGAACTTTTGTATATCCTCGGTCTGGCAATTACGGGTCTTTGCGAGTCTGTAAACGTACCGCTCACCATCGCGAGACTCGAGTTTTTCTTTGAGATCGGCGTAACGAGCTGCCTTCTCTTCTTTCTTAGCTATCTGAGCCGCCATTTGTCAGCTCTCTTTTCGGAAAGAAATGCGTGGTACTGCTTTCTTCTCACAGACTTTATCTCTGACATAGTCCGTCCACCGCCATGTTTTCTTGTCGACCTTTCGACGTCCAGGCTTGGCAACGCCGAGATCGTGCAACCCGGCCTATCACTTCGGCAGCTCCCTTCCACAGGCCTGTCCCCTGCAATCTAGTCTCCTCGATCAGCTCAGCCCACAGAGTGAGCAGTTCCTAGTGGCACCCCTTGGAGGAGCGGACATCACCACCATGGCTATATACACGGTTTTCCAAAATTATGGATGCTGAAAGTCAAAAGCTTCTGAGGCCGCAATGACTTATCAATTTCGCTTCATTCTTCATAAATTATAATAGTTGCACAAAAAGTTTTCCTCGCCACCTTCATATTCACCGAAGTAAGACTTTTTACATTTTCGAAAGCACAAATCACGATGAAAATGGTTTCTGAGATTTCTCCCTGAGATGAACCAGTAATCCCCGAGTATAGCACCAAGGGAGATGTCGCATCGAAAACGGTCTTGATGGGACGTAATATGGACTCGAAACCGGTCTAGCCGGCGCACGCATTCGTGGGGACAACTTCACAAACGTTGTGAAGGTTGTGGAGATTTGCAGATTCTCGCGGTTGCGTCATTGTCTTCGAACCCACAAGTTCACGCAGCCTACTGTACCCAGCTGATTGCAACGACAAACAGGCTTTAAAAGCTCTTCCGACTACCCCTTCCACACATCTTTTCTTGTCAAATTCTTGTCCGACCCCTGCTTGTGCTACTTTTTTGAAGTGTATATTTCTCTGAGTATCCCGGTTTCCGCGTTTTCTTCGCCACCTTCGCACCATTCTGAGCGATCTGGAATCATGATTCATCTGGAACCAAATGCCCCAAAATTATCGCGAGCTGCGCCTTTAAGATGATCAAGGCTCATTCAACGCCATCTGCAATCGTTCGCATGCAAAGAGGGGAAGGGCAGAATATATTTTTTTTTGTGATTCCAATAATGACCGTGCAGAAGGCTACTGAGCAATACAGAGAAACAGAATGGCTATTAAACGATACAGTGAAGCAGAATCAATCAAAAGCAAATCGCAAGGGGTAGAAAGGCTAAAGCAATCTCCATGTTCGCCTTTCTTGAAACCTGAGCATTTTCACTATTATTAGTCAGTGCTTCTGTGCCAAACAGGTTTTTAATGGTGAATATTTATTCGCCTGACGTTTCGACTAACTCGTCGTTATGGGCCTGAAAGCGTATCGCAAGTTTAGAGTGTTACATATCACGGTATATGGACCAGAAGTTGACCGATGATTTTATTTCGGTACCATGAAATGCGATCGGTCGGTCCATCAACACAACTGATTATATGTCTGATTTTGTGAGCCTGCCGCACCAGTGACTGCATCTTTTCAGCAGACAACTTATGGGTTTTAATAAGGATGTAAAATACTGGGAGCGTGGGGTTCTCCAGCTTCAGCCTTCCAATTAGCCTTTCATCCAATTTCTGTCTTGTTGACAACACGACAGAAATTGGATGAAAGGCTAATTGGAAGGCTGAAGCTGGAGAACCCCACGCTCCCAGTATTTTACATCCTTATCAAAANGTCGAATTTGCTCCATACCGCAATCCCTTGCGCTCCGAAGGTAGACGTCCCGTTAAGAAAACAACTGTGTACGAGACCACTGCGGCTTTGAAGAGTATGAAATCAAGCAAAGCAACTGGTCCTGACGACTTAGCGCCGGACTTGTGGAAATCAAAGGGCAGAAATCCTGCAGGATGGTTGACGGAATTCAACCACGTCGTTGCAGAGAAGAAGGTGCCTGAGAGCTGGCAACAGAGAACGTCGATTCCTATCTGGATGAAGGGCAGTCCTGGGGACTACAACTGCTACGGTCAATTTCGCCCGCTCTCGCATAGCATGAAAATCTTTGAGCAAATTGTAGATAGTCGCATCCGTGACATCGTCGAGCTTACCACCAATCAGTATGGTTTCGTGGCTGCTTGCAGACCATCGATGCCACACACGCAACTCGCCTTCTACTAGAAAAGCAGCGTGAGAAATAAAGAACGGCACCTCTTGCCTTCCTAGACTTGAAGAGGGCTTCCGATCCCGTCCCATGTTACGTCATTCAGTATGCCTTACGGCAGCATGACCTTCCCGAGAAGCTAATCGAGTGGTTGCGCATCCTTCACTTTATTCCAAAGGGCTGAGTGCAGACGGCAGCGGGCATATCAGAGAATTTTTTCCAACTCCGTTGGAGTACACCAAGGCTCTATTCCTATTTCTATTTGTTGTCGTCGTCATGTATGCGAATACAAGAGATCTCCAGAAGCCGGCTCCGTGGACGTTTTTTATGCCGATAACGTGATGCCAGCGTAGACGAATGCGAGCTCGAGCAACAGATGAAACCTGGTCCGAACCTCAGGCTATGATCGGACTTAGGCTAAACGTCAAAAAGACTGGGTACCTGACCACCGATTCTAGCAAGCCAGGCTCTATTAAGATCAATCACACTGAGCTTACAACAATATTCTAGTATCCTGGATCGGCAACTGCGTCTGACGGCAGCCTCGTTTTTAAAACAAATTCTCGCGTGAATGCAGCGTGATAGAAGTGGTGCTCGACGATAGGCGCACTCTGCGATAAAAATATGCCTGAACGCCTCAAATCCAAGACCAATGGAACCGCCATCCGCCGGCCGCAACTTACGGGCTGAGTGCTGTCCTGCGACCAAAGAAGTTGAAGCCCTTCTCAGTGTGATGGGGACTAAGATGCTGCGCTGGAAAGTCGACGTAATACAGCTAGACCGATTAATAAATTCCAACCTGACAAGCGAGCTCCATCTAGCAGACGCAAGAGTCTGCTAGATGGAGTTCTGTGATTTCCTTGTCTGAAAGCTGAGGCAAAACCACAAATTTTCCACCTTTGTCGCAGACAGAAAGGCGTACTTCACTCTGTTTTATTCTTTCCCGGATTTCGTTGAACTCTTCCCATTGCTCGCTTGTCAGGTTGGAATTTATTAATATTTATTATTAATATAAGGGGCGGAGGTGGTGTAGTGGCAAGTGGCGCACTATATCACACGCACGGTCAGGGGTTCGAATCCCGGATCGATGCCCGCCTAGGCCAACCAAGCCTTCCATCCCCTCGGGGTCGGTGAATTGGTACCAGACTCGTCTGGGAGGATAAAAGCACTGACTTGTACATCGGCTGGCCACCGCAAGTCATTGTATAGGCCACATACGCACTCATTACGCCACTACGATTCTGAATGGAAGTCGAGTGCGGGGGCGCATCCCTCAGACGGGATTGATTAACGCCAAAAACTTTATCCTTTATCCTTTAATATAAGATTTATTACTAAATTCCAACCTGACACGAAAGTTGAGCAACTGTCCTGTATTGGTGGAATTGACGTGAGTGACTTGTCAGAATTTCTTCTTAGGTCGAAGTTCATCAGCCTGAGTTGCAGCTAGTAAGATCTGGTCTACGTCAACCGTGATAGGCAACACTCCAAAGTTGCGATATGTTTCCAGGCCTTCGATAACGACGAGTTATACGAAACGTCAGGCGAATAAATATCTCACCATTGAAAACCTGTTTGGCACAGAAGCACTGACTAATAATAGAAAGACTAGAGTTGTGGAAGATAGGGTTATTGAAATAGTCCGTTTGCGAGTGATCGTAATCCTGGGTGATATATCAAAACGATGGTAACCAAGCTGGACTTCGATCGAAGTTGTCTTTGAGACGGTTTTTCATGCAGGCCTCATTGCTACTCCTATGATATGCAAAAATGCCACGCCATTTCCTAACTCAACAGACAGTGTAGGGTCAAAAATTCAGAAGAATGCTATTCATTCGAGTGGGAACACGCATCTCTTCATCGTCTTTTCAGACGAAAACGTCTCACGTATAGTCAATCCTCAACAAATAAATTAATAACGTTACAGTAAAATTATCAATGACGTTTAGAATAGAAGCATCAAAGGTGCGTTCTTTCAAAAAAATTTATAAGAATAGCGAGGTGATGAACATTGTAGATAATGAGAAGACACCTATAGTGCCTTCAGTACTGGCGTAAAAAATAGAAAAGGCATGCAAATAAAAAGCACACTGATAGAGTACTTGAGCACTGATCCGATTTCGCTTCCTGAAACTGCCCGTGATTCTTCCAGTTGTTTTGTGATCCAGCCCAAGCTTTTGAAAGTGGCGCAAACGACAGTTGAATGACTTCCTTGGCACTTGGCACTGAGGAGTGGTCATCTTGCTCTCCAGATCTTAACTCACTTAATTTATCCACGTGATCCCTGATTAGGAGGAAACGAGGTGAGTTTGCCATCCTTGTTCCAATTCTCTGATAGCAAGACTCAAGAATGACTGGAAAGAAATGGATGGATACTTGCGTACAACATGCAAGAGTTCGAGAACGGACTTTGGACATCTACCCATGCTAATGGGGGATATCGGAATGTGATTGTGTTTTACTGTTGCTCTTTGTCCCCACTTATGAACTGGCAGCAACCACCACCTACCAAAAAGACGTTCTCATATTGTATTCGTCCGTTGGAAGCGGTGTTAATTGCGTCGTCGAAATTTGCTGCCCTCGCATCGACCCGTTTGATCTTTTTGAACTACGAGAATGTCTAGTTTATCTCACCTGTTTGTATAGAGTACAGGTAAGATCGCACGGCTAACGTCTGGCGCTCCACTTTTCAAACTAAAATAAGTCTGCTACGTCCCCTTCAAACTTGGATGCTCTAGTACAGTAGAACAGAAAACAAGATTTTACCCTCGTTCATTACCCTCGGTGATTCATTACCCTCGTTCTTCATCTTGACTGCTCAAATTCACTGAAATTAGGCTCATTTTACGCACGTTCCGTCCTCGGCGGGGTCTCGTTTTGTCACCTACCCTAAGTATTCCCATCCTCTCTTCTGTACTCCTACCAAATTCGAACGCTCTGGACCCAAATTAACCATTCTCGCGCA